TGTTTGTATTTCTACTTTTTCAAGGAAGTGCAATACCAAATAACTGCTATTATAATGAGCCAGCTCTGACAAAAGGAACTGGAGCCATAGAGAAATCTAGGAATTCTTGTACAACCTTAGGATTATCTCACCTGGAGGGAAAAGGAGATGGGTCTTTGTAGAGTAACTGTGGAGGGTGACTGTTTGCTACTCCTATAGGGGGCTAACACCATAGCACTAGTAGCCTTCCACACGTGGGGAAGTGGCTTATACCTTTTCCAACTGGGATGGGCTGACCCCAAATTCAAAGATAGTCTTTATCTCCCACTTTGATTTTATCTTATTCTCAACTTTTAAGTCTTCTTTAGATTCTGAAGAGCAAACAACTGCTTTAATGATGTGATTTTTGGTTTCTTCTTGGAATGAGATTGGTTATTATAAGGAGTAGCCCTGGATGCAATTCACCCAGCTACTGGTTTATTGGAATTGGGTCTCTGGTTCTCTTGCCCACAAACTCTTTGTTCCAATATGACCTGATAGGAGGCCGATAATAATGAGAGTGATATTCGTGAGACAAAACATTCTAATTTGAAAGTGATGGTCACTGAAAACTCAAACTAGGTTAAATTACAAGGAGATAACTTGTAGTTGGTTCACGTAATGGGGAAGTCCAGGTGTTCATACTTTAGGCACAACTGGACTCCAGTGCTATGAGGATGTCCTCACGGCTTTGAACCATTCACCTTGTCTTGCAACTGCTTCTCCAAGGCTTCCATTTCAGTCAGCTGCTCTCCACATGGTAGGAAGAGTGGTATCTGTCTGCCCCAAGTATGTCCCTTAGCAGGTTGGTCAAAAGGCTAGGCTAGAGGCAATCTTTCTTGAAACTTTTGGCAATAAATCCCAGGGAAGACTCTGATTGGTCTGGCTGAACATATGTGCCTTTTGCAGGACGAATCAATGTGGTCAGTATTATTGGCACTGCCTGAGTCATATCCCCACCTCCCTAGTTCAGGGAGGATGGAGGGGATGGAACTGCACCCTTTGTCCTGCTATGACCATTTTTTGCATTGGTTCACTAGAGTTTCTCCTTGTCAATTCAGTGTCAGACATATTTTATGGATGGTCAGTGCTGATATGAGCATGCTGAAGCATGTGCACTAACAGATGAGGAACTACTAAAAGGAATAGTTTCCATGGTCCTTGGACCACTCTCAATAGCAGGAAGTCCACCTCTACTACAGAGAGAAGATCAAGGTGTGTGCTGGCAGTTGTCTTCGGTTTTGGGAGGTCCAACTCCCTCCCTTACTTCTCACAGCCTTCAAGGTCTGTGAAAGGCCAGAGGTGCATCAGACAATGACCCACCATTAAAGACAAGCAGGGGAAGGGCTTCTAATAGCATGAAAGAAATCATAGTCTTAGAGACTTGCATGGAATCAATCTGACTTCTGACCTATAGGGACTTCCACGGATATGGTCCTGAGAGGTAGAGACCTTTTGTGACTTATGTAGGACAAACTGCTATAGAGGAGCATAGTCTCAGTGTGAATCCAAGGTCCCAAAGTCCAACTGGTCCAATATATTTTGGTATATGAACCTCTTGCTCTGATGTCTAA